GTAACAGTTCAAATCAACTCAGTGTTAGCTTGTTGTTGCTGTGAGGTTTATTGTCTTTGAATATATGTTATTATGCATGCTTTGATCTTTAAAAGTAAGTATGTAGAACCTCCTGAACCATCTTCAGTTTAACTTGTGTCTCTTTAAGGACCTTTCTGGATAAAGCATGGCCTTGCTTGACTGACCCAAAGAAAATGAGGCATTGGTTATGGACTATAGGTGCAGCTCGCTAACGGCTAAAGGCTAATAAGCCATGGCGACCGTGGCTCAGGGGGTTGGGAAGCACATTTCTAACCGGAAGGTTGCCGGTTCGATCCCCGGGCTCTCTGTCCTGGTTGTTGTGTCCTTGGGCAAGACACTTTACCCTACTACCTACTGGTGTTGGCCAGAGGGGCCGATGGTGCGATTATGGCAACCTCGCTTTTGTCAGTCTGCCCCAGGGCAGCTGTGGCTACAACTGTAGCTTGCTTCCACCAATGTGAGAGTGAATGAATAGTGGCATTGTAAAGCGCTTTGGGTGCCTTGAAAAGCGTTATATAAATCCAATCCATTATTATTAATAAAACCTCTGTTTTCACCCAGTGTACCCAGGACAAGCGGAGACACCTGCAGTCAGCTGGTGCTGATGGAACATATTGCTTTAATGCAAAATAATTACCTTCTCTAAAAAATCCTCAAATTTAATTGCATATTCTATGATATATTCAGCACCGTTTGTCTTTCTTTCAGAAAGATTGCTCTAAAAACTCCCACCTGAATTTCATGAAGCTTGTGGAGTCATCTGGTATAAGCTGAGGAGATGCCATTAAAATGGGCTTAGAGCCAAAGCTAATAAACATTAGCCTCACTAGCGGTGTAATGTACTAACACAGAGGATTCCTGTTTTGATGATTTGCATTAATAAATAAATAAAACTAATCCACTACATGTTTACTTCCCCAGATGCCAGGAGTACATGAGAACTACTGTACTCGCTCTTGTAGCCAACAATGACAACATTGCTTGTGGCGCATAAATATAGAGGGGCACCTCCGCCTTCCTGTATCAAACTAGCTGCTAGGTCGGCATTAAGTGTTAGAGTGTGATGTAGATAAATCAGTGAGTACTTTAAGCGAGGCATTTTATTCAGTTTAGCAGCAGAATGACTTCCCCCTTGGTATGAAATTACATATGTTTTACATTCCCAAAATACTAGGGTGAAAACTCTATCCATCCAGTTTCTTCTCGTTATCCAACAAATGGTCACAGGGGGTTGGAGCCTATCCCAATTGATATGGGGCGAGAGGTCACAGTGCCAACACGATCACCAACTAAGCTAACCCCACTAACCGCATGTCCTTGGACTGCGAGATCAAGATTATGTGGAGAGGACTCCTACAAACACAGAAAAAGAAGATGCAAACTCTACACAGGAAGCCCAGGACCTTCTTGCCATGAGGCAACAGGGCTAACCGCTGTACCACTGTACTCAAAAACCACTTTAAGGTGAATTTTACATGTGGGTAGTGATGGAGAGTTTCTCTGTGTCCAGAATTCTGCGTCACTCTATAGAGGCACTCCAAACAAACTGGAGGACACACAGACATCCCTACAGACCTTCGCATTCCCCCTCTGATAGCAAAATTTGCATCACTTAGAGCCCGCGGGACCCACGTGGCTACAGAAATGATAAAACTAACCTTAAATGAAGGATCTCGGCATCACAGCTATTCAGTCTGTCCATTAAACAGTTACCTGGTTTCTAACAAAGCTGATAATAATAATTATCATGTCTCACCTGCTTCAGTGTTTGTTTATGTGTCATAATAGTGTGCCTGCTAATGGGCCGCTGTTCGCTGATATGAATGTGTGAATGAATATATGGCTGCATGGGAATAGGATGGCTGCACACAGCACGGGAGGGAAATTCACTCCACTCATTCAGACAACAGTACAATGATTGGGAGCTAACTCAGAGGAGGAAAGAGCAAAAGGGCAGGTGGACCTTTTTCATGCAGTGCTAACAGTGTGTACCCAGAGAGATACTCAGGAAGACACAGTGAAAGAACAAACAGGCCTGACCTCTGATCCAGTCTGTTTTGTACACAACCGTGGACAATTAAAGAGGTAGTACACACTGAAATGTGTTTTTTTAAAATGTATATCATTTCTTATAAGTTCTATATAAGATACATGTTCTCAATAGATGATAACAGATGAAAACTTTATATACAAAGTGTGACTGTCAGCTATGTGTCAGCAACTAGATTTCAGCTTTGCATTTTCCGTACGTTAAAGCAGCTTTCCAGCTCTGTAACCTGTCCAGTTAAGCTCTCCAGAGTATATTTGAGCGATATGATGTGCTGTGAATTTTATCTGGTTCAGCTTTAAATACTCAGCAACAAGCACTAGTCTTGCTGATTAAGCAGTGCCACTGGCAGTTTCACAGGCCATTCCTTTTTTCCCACAGTGTATTTACTCTGAACAATACGTTTGAGAATAGCTTGACAATACGCTTGTGTAACACAACCGAAAACCTGTTTAAGCCTCCGTGTGCAGTATGTGTAAAAGAAAACAGCGTTTCTTTGGTGAACAACTTCTGATTTGAGCATGAGACTAAAAAAAAAAAAGAAAAAAAAAGAAAAAACAAGATGTGAAAACCCAACTTTGGCTCTGGAAAGTTTAATTGGCATATCTGAGTAATTGGATCAGATCAGCACTTAATGAAAATATAAGCTGCAGGCCTATTCACATGCATGAATTCTCACTACCTGGCCATTTCTCTTTCCCCCCACAATCTCCTAACTCAATATCACACATCTGTTTTTTTTCTGGTCACTTAAGTCCAACTAAATGAGCTCAGGTGTCACCCCAACCGACAGGTTCAAAACTGTTGTATTCTCCAGCTCGTTTTGCCTTTGGCTGCAGAGCAATGTGAAAGATAATACGTATGAAGTGCAGGGGTGAGCAGAATATCACAAACTAGATTAAATGCGGCCCTCTTCCCAACCTCCCAGCCTTCCCCCTTCCTCTTATGCCCTTGGAGCCCACTCTTCTTATCGTTTCACCTTTGTGTGTCTTAAATAGCTTATTTTACTCGCCTTTTCGATCTCTTTCTTCTTGTTCCTCTTTTGTGCCTGATTCTCATCTTGCAAATCTCACCCACCCACGTCTTATTAAACACAATGGTCACCTTTTCCTGGTGTGTGTGAGTGTCTGCTCCGGTGTGTCTAGGAGTTTGGATTTTTAGTAGAAACAATGAGCTGACTCATCATGCAGCATGCATATTAGAAAGTGTCCACCACCAACCCACGCATATATCACACCATGGAGACTGCCACACACACACACACACACACACACACACACACACACACACACACACACACACACACACACACACACCAGGAAAAAAAGCATTAAGCTATTTGTATTCTAAAATGAAATTGACTTTGAAGGACGGAGGTGGCGATGATCAGATGCAGAAGCCTCGACAAACAGCTCCCCTCACCCACCACGGAGACTTTCACATGAATAACAGTGGAGCTGGAGATGGGAGAGGAAAGCCCCCCTCCCTCCCTCTCTGAGTCTTTGTACCTCTGTCACGCAAAGGCATGCCTGTAGAAAAACTTCTCTGGCAGCGTATGAGGTCGCTTCACACATAACTTTTTATTTATCCTCTGATTCAGACACAAACAAAAGGCAGAACAGTGCTGTCTCTGTATTATGCACAACTTCCTTACTGCAAAAAAAAGAAGAAGAAGAAAAACCACAACAAATTAATTTCCTCCAGCTAGCAGATACCACCCCATTCATTCGTCTGGTTCCATAAGGACTTTAATGATTATAGGCAAGGCCTTCCAGACATTAATCCTAGCTGAGGACAGATAATTGTCTTCAATAGGGGACCAAGCAAGTTAAAATGAATCCAACGCCAAAAAGCTTAAAATTAGCAATTAAATATATACCCGATGTATAGGGCATAACAGCTTTAAGAAAAATAAGGTGTGCTATCTTTTAGCTTGTTATTTGCATTATTTTTATAGTTGGACTTTTAGAAAACGGAGCAAAAAAAAATGCAAATGTAAAACAATGAGAAGAGGAGCGCTTTTAACAAAGATTCCTGCAAGGACTGAATCGGAGATGTTCCGATGCCAGAATGTTGTAATCAATTTAACAGCAACCCTTGTTGGCAGCCCCAAATGAGAGTATCTTCAAAGTATCTACTTATCAAAGGTGTAAATTGATACTATGATAATAATTAAGAAAGCTTAGAATGTAATATGACCTTCAGCCACGGGTGGCAGCACTGAGCAGAGTAATCCTGAGCAGCAGTCCAGTGGTTGAACGAGGAAAAACATCTTTGAAGATCTGACACCAGGGGTGTCCAACTCCAGTCCTTGAGAGCTACTGTCCTGCAGCTTTTAGATGCATCCCTACTCCAATACAGCTGAACCAAATGGTTGGATTACCTCTTCAGCATGCCATCAAGTTTGGCCATTCATTTGATTCAGGTAGGTTGGAACAAGGATTTGTCTAAAATCTGCAGGACGGTAGCTCTCGAGGAGGGGAGTTGGACACCCCTGATATACACACAGTTGTCACATCTAGGCTTGTGAGATCAAAACATCAAAAAGGAGCACACAGTGTGGTATTTTATCTAAAAATGGGCTGAGTCTCTCTCTGCAGCCCATTCATAGATTAAAAAAAAGAACTTTGTGTTTATTTTTGATGTTCTAATGAAGGAAATGCCAAACTATGTGACAAAGCAACACAGTTTTTTTTACTGCTACAATGTTACAGTTACAAAAGCATGCAGAGCTGTAACGTTTTAATTCAGATGGACTTGTTTTGTGCTGCAGAGAACAGACTCAGCCAAATGCCTCTGAAGTCATCTGCAAATCGACATCCAAAATCCCCTCACCCCACTGACGTCAGCGGCGCAAGATTCTTTACACATGCTGTCATTTAAAACAAAGCCATCCTGGATGAGTGAGCTTTTACAAGCTTGCTGTACTTACGTCTCCGTTTTGTAGGTGGAGCATCTCTCCAGCGGGATCTTCAGGACTCTGTTGTTGAGCCCAACAAAGAGTGACCTGTCACTATGCAGGATCTGCAGGCTCAGGATCGGTTCTCGAACACCTGATGGGAAGAGCTCCATCTCCTCCAGGTAACAGCCTTGCAGGTTCTTGTTGGGGGTAGCCAGTGCCTTCAGGATGGTGCCGTACTCTAAAAGAGACAGACAAAATAAAGCAAGGAACCTACCTCCTCAATCTTAAAGTTTTGGTTTTCCTCTTTCACTACTAACCTGTGCTGATGTACATAACATGGAAGAGGGTGTCCATGCCCTGAACAATGTCCACGACTAGGTTTGAGAAGCGAACGTCATCCTGCATGACCAGCGGATCAATAGACTCCGGCTGGACAACATCGTTCATGAGGTAAAGCCGCTGGGCGTCCTGCAGACTGCGCTCTGTCAAGCCCTGATTCAGACCCTTGTCATCTATAGTACCGCACTGCAAAAGAAAGGCAATGTTGGAATTTGGACAAAGGGATATAAAGTAAGAAGAAGATGTGAAAATGTAAAATGCATATAAGAAAATCTAAAAGGCAGCGAGAGAGGCATGGACAAAAGCACGAAAAAAACAAACAAAGAGCATGCCACACACTCTTCTTTACACCTACCGAATCAATACGCCTCGTCTGGCGAGATTGTTTCAATTCCTAAATCTATGAAGTCTGAGTAATTGCAACTTTTGAATGGAATGTTATGTGAACACACTAACAGCGCAGCAGCTTAATGAGGCACTTGAGAAGAAAAAGTATGAAATGACAGTGTTCTGAAAAGCTTTGTTTGTGCAGCAGAGATTAGCTGTGGATTGCAACTTCTGCTCATTCTCTGGGATTTGAAATGAGAGGCTGATTTGTTTGCTGATTCTATTTTTTTTGGTGAACGACAATGACGGACTGACGGGTGATTATCAATATGTGGTTTTGTGGTAATCACAGTATCTAATTGGTTGAAATCTACTTCTTGCCTTCAGCTGCTAACTTGGAGAATTGGAGACTGCAGCCATGCTGTGCAGCACCAGCAGCAAGCTCTACACACCAAATGGTGTGAAATCCTAGATTACGGATCCATTTTTCCGACTAAAAATGTCACAGTGTTACAGCCTGAAGCCAATAACTGAAGGAAAGGATATATATTTCTTACAACTGAAGATGACTTTCATTTTGATTTAAGATGAATTGAGTCATCTTTATGCAGGAGAGTGCAGCAACTGAGAAAATTGGCAAATGTTCTTTTAGGGTTTCGAAGCTTTTGTCGAAATGTTGCATGAATGAAAGAAAAAACAAGATACTGAACTTTTTTGTTTTCACAGTATTTTGCAATCAGAAGATTACAAATTGGAAAAGATGGAAGGACAGCAGGGTAACTCTTTATCTTAATCAGTGTGCTAAGAATAGGAACTGGAAGTGCCAAAAACTGCACTTCGTCAAATGGCCACTTGAGGCTTGCCCCAGCTTTAGAAATCCTTCTCAGTTCAGTTCAGTTCAGTTCAGTTCATTTTTATTTCAAACATTTCAAACATGTGCCTTCACAATCATTACAAAATATCATTCCATTATTTGTTTGAAAAGGAGTAGGCTGAAGTATTTACTTATTTGTCCCTACCCCCTCAAGTTTTACCTCTCATTCATTTAATTTTTTTTTTGTCTTAAATTAAACAAACAACATATGAAACATATGAAGTAAAACAAAACATAACATACATAAATCAAAAACAAGAAATTAGCAAGCCCCACCACAGTATAGTTTCTTTCATATGAAAAATACAGAATGTGTATATTTGCAGATACACAAGTTATGGAAAAACAACAAAACAAAACAAAACAAAAAAACAAAAAAGAACCGCAACACCTCTCATACAAGGTCTTTAATAATCAGGCATAATCTTATCTTAAAGACCTCATAGTACCATATCACCCCAACAGAGCACTTCACTCTCAGATTGCAGGTTTACTTGTGGTTCCTTATGTATTTAAAAGTAAAATGGAAGACAGCGGCTTCTGCTTTCAGACCTCCCTCTTGTAAAATTAACTGCCAATTTGGATTCAGGAGACAAACACTCTCTCTACTATCAAGATTAGGTTTAAAACTTTGCTTTTGATAAAGCATATAGTTACCCTCCCTTAGATGTGCCGCAATTAGCCTATGCTGCTGAGAGATTCCCATGATGCGCATTTCTGAGTGTTTCTTCTACACTCACCTCATTTTATTTTCATTAGTTATTATTTATCTCAGGCTCTTGTCCACAGCGTGTCTTTGTCCTGTCTCCCCCACTCCATCCCTAACCAGTCGCGGCAGATGGCCGCCCCTCCCTGAGCCTGGTTCTGTCAGAGGTTTCTTCCTGTTAAAAGGGAGTTTTTTCTTCCCACTGTTGCCAGGTGCTTGTTCATAGGGAGGCATCTGATTGTTGGGGGTGTCTCTATATTATTGTATGGTTTTACCTTACAGTATAAGCAGTTGTTGTGATTTGGCGCTATATAAATAAAACTGAATTTAATTAAATCAATGATAACCATGCTGGTTGAATGGTAGCTGTCTGGTGTCTGATTGAAATGGCTTAACTTCTGCAAACTGGTATCCGTGAACTGGAGCTCTAATTACAGTTTCCTCTTTCACAGTTTAAAAAGGTAACTGACTGATTTAACTTTTAAACAGTGGTCTCAGTGAGGAGGTGTGTGGTTAAACTAACCTGGAAATTGTGGATGGGGTTGGGCGTGGGAAGCCAAGTGGAACGAGGATTCTCCTGGGTGCGGAAAGGCCCGTTGAAGGCCTGGGTGATGGCGCTCAAGTTGAAGGCACACACTGCAGATGCTGCAATACTGTTGCTTTATAGAGAGAGAAACAGGGAGGAGAAGACAGGAGGAAGAGGGTGGGGGAGGGAAAAAGAGGTAAAAATACAAATATTATTTCAACAATAATATTCATAACCGCTTAAAATGTTGGCAGCAAATGAAGGCATATCAGAAATCGACAATGTCCAGCTGTGCAATAAAGCTATTCTGCTAAGAGTTCCATCCTCTTAATGGAAGTCCTATCATTTATACCCACAATAAACAGGCGCTCCATGTCTAGCTTGCTTTGGCTGCAGGCTAAGCTATGCTATCAGTGCTGAGCAGTGAATGGCGACAGTATTAAGCTGAGGATATGGGAGGCAGCTCCACAGATTATGTGCACACACACACACACACACACACACACACACACACACACACACAGTCGCCTCACAGGTGTAACATATGAGAGTAAACCCTGGCCGAACAAGCAATGCGAGCAAAGGTATTATCGTGATGCTCTTTACTAATATTGTGCTGCAGGGTAATGAGTTTCTTAACAACTTGCTACTGCTGACTGCTTCCTCCTCCTTCTTATACAGTACATCCAGTAACACACAAACTTTCTACAGCACAGTGAACAGCCTGCTGCCTTGACATAGCTTTTGCTGATAAACTACCAGTTAGAAGATAGTGAGTGATACCATTAAAGGGGAAAGAGATTGGGAGAGAGTGAGAGAAAAGGCAACAGCCACAGAGTGAAAGAGACTTGCACCGAATCCACACACAAGACTTTGCATTAGCAACACAAACATTAGCAGAGAGCCTTTAAAATTTTCAGCTGAGGTTTAGCGAACGCAATGTAAATAAGATGCAAGCCATTAGCGGGCCAATTGTGGACTTTTGTGAGTTGAGGAGTGAAAAATGTGGCTGTAATGACGTCTGCGTGGACACTCCATCAGCCTACAGAGAAAGGAATACTTTTAAAATGGCAGGGTTCCTGAGTTTGTTTTGGCTCCTTGTGTGAAGTATGAGTCATTGAAGACTGCTGGTTGCGGGAAAAGCTGTATCACTGGGGTTTGGTAAATGGTTATTTGTTCATTTTTCTTTCTTGTTCTTTTCCTGACACATGACATATTTATCCATCTCTTAGCTAGACAAGCCATATTGGAGAATTTATTTGCAATTACTGAAGTTACAGCTACAGTAATGAGATGTGCTGCTGGGTGAAAAATGTGCTAGGACACTTTTTATAAGGTTAAATGTCTGGTCTCTTTCGACCAGGTTCAGGTTTATATGGGGCAATTATCTGTTAGGTAAGATTTGGGTGTTTTAGATACATGAGGGCTAGAATGACATTATTTGTGGATCTTGTCAATCCTATTGTTTGTCTATTTTCACTACATCCTATTATGCTTTGGGTAATACAATTTCAAAATGCTCCCCCCCCATAATGGCAGTGATTTAGCTGTACGTAACACCCGAGCCCAATAAATAATTTTAATTCCATTTTGGCAAAGCTACCCTATGAACAGTCATGCTGAATTAGTTTTCATCAGTTTCCTTTTCCACAGTATTCTGACCACCTGCCAAATACTGTTTTGGTCCCCCTTTTACTGCCTAGACATCCCTGACCCATCGAGACATGGACTCCACTAAACCCCTGAAGCTGTGCTGAGGTGCCTGGCACCGTGTTAGCAACGGATCCCTTAAGTCAGCGGTCCCCAACTCCCGGGCCACGGACCGGTACCGGTGGCATCCTACCACAAAGCAAAAAATGCTTTGTGGTAGGATGCATTATCCTGCTAAAAGGGGCCGCAGCCATCAGGGAATACTATTTCTTGGTCTGTTACAATGGTTAGGCAGATGGTACGTATCAAAGTAACATCCAGATAGATTTCCAGACCAAAGGCTTCCCTGTAGAATATTGCCCAAAGTATCACCTAGCCACCACTGGCTCGCCGTAGTGCATCCTGCTGTCAGGTGTTCCCAGGTCATCAAAGAAAACATGATTCATCGGACAAGGCCACCTTCTCCCAGTGCTCCGTAGTCCAGTTCTGACACTCACGTGACCATTATTGGTACTTTCGGTAGTGGACAGGGATCAGGATGGGGCACTCTGACTGGTCTGTTCCTATGCAGCCCCAGTGCTTATAATGGTATGCCTGATTAGTGTAATTAAGATTCATCTTTAAAGCTCCACTTTACCACTTTTTGCAGCAATCGCCGTTGCCTACTGGTGGTGGTCAGAGGGCCCGGTGGCGCCAGTGTCCGGCAGCCTCGCCTCTGTCAGTGCGCCCCAGGGCAGCTGTGGCTACAATGTAGCTGCCATCACCAGTGTGTGAATGTGTGTGTGAATGGGTGGATAACTGAATGTAGTGTAAAGCACTTTGGGGTCCATAGGGACTAAGTAAAGCGCTATACAAGTACAGGCCATTCTTATTCTTAGTTAAATAACTTTGAGTCTCTAGTTTGATGTTCAAAGTAATCAGTTTTTTTATATGACTAGAAAGCCAAAATGTCACAATCTGTTGCAACCATTGTTTTTTATTAAGTTACCATTCTTTTTTTTCTTTTCTTTTTTGTCCCGTTTGGATATTTAGCCATCAGAATTGTTGTCTTAAGGCCAAGAAAGATGCCAAGCGGATTTATTTTACCAAGTGGATCATCATGGCCTTGCCATATTGGTCCATTTAATTGACCTTTATTATAATTATGTATTTATTTTATTTTCGGTTGCTATAAAACGGGACAGACATGACTGGGGGATAGGACAGGGGGAAAGAATGAAAGAAAGAGGGAGAGAAAGAAATACAGAGGGGAGAAGAGAGGGGGGGGGGGGGAGAAAGAAAGAAAAACAAACAAAACACCTGGATCACCTGTATGGAGAAGAAAAAACAGAAGAGAAAGCAAACAAAGAAAGAGCAACATAATAAATACAGCACCATCACAATAAACTAGCTAGCAGTAGATATCAGTAGATACTAAATATTAAACAATATTGTGCAGCACGCAAGATAAACAGCGCACAATGTGCTTTGAGGCAGCAGCCAAGAAAGGTGTAGTCCGCGTCTGTGTACACCTGTGTGCATACCTGTGTGGATCAGCATGCTTGTATTCCAAAGGTTTCTCCATGTAACGATCTGCTAGGGAGTGTGGGGAGCCACAGCCCCGTCCACCAGGGTATGAAGCAGGTATGGAGGAGATCCAGGCCCCAGACATCCAGAGGCCCCAGAGTACGAGGACCCGAGGAGGACCACCAAAAAGGGGGGGAACCGTGCCACCCTCCTGGGAAGAGCTGAGTAGAGCCCCAAAGGAGAGGTCACCCAGCAGCTACGGAGCAGAGGCCAGAGGGGGTTGCAGTGGCGTGCCCGCGGGCTCTGCCGGCAGCCAGCTGTGCCAGAGAGGACCGAGCTTCAGGCCCAGAGGCCTGAGGGCACCCCACCCCCTGGAAGGGGCCCAGGCGGGCCACAGGCGCCTGGCCCTGCCAATCGGCCACCAGGAGTGAGCCGGTACATACATGAGCGCCCAGCCCCAGTCGACAAGAACTACCAACACACCAACGTCTGAGGGCATCAGCCACCGGCAGGGAGTGTGGTGAGGGGAGATAGGCCTCCGTACTTTAGAGGGCCTGAGATGTACCCAGAGAGGTGGAGTCTAAGACCCAACCTGACATATAGACACAGACGAACAGGCACACGCGGACACAGACGTGCATTCCCACCCCATATACACAACCAAATACTCGGCACTCACCCAACGTGTAGACAGACACAAATAGACACTGCACAGACAGTCGCACTCCCCAAACATTTTCTATATCCCAGGTCCAGGTACCCCCGCCCTCAGAGGGGCAAGCCGCACCTAGACCCAGGAGATGTAACCCTTCTCTCTGGGGTGGAGGCAAGCGGACCGCCTCCTTATCTGCAGTAGCAGGGAGGTCCCGCATCCCGGACCCCAATCTGACGGCCAGCACCTCCTCCCAGCCCCCCAGCCCTGACGGCTAACAGAACCGGGGTGAGTGAAGACCCCAAACCTCCCTACGCCCGCTCATATGTAGTGTTGCTGTGTGCTGTTCTAAAGTGCATTTAAGTTACCATTCTTACCTCAGAGTTGTTTCTAAGGTCTGCTGGGAGAGTGCTGGTTTCTTCTGTTGATTTTTGCGTTGAATACTACTTTCTCAGTGGTCCAGTTCAGGGCAGTGAAATAACTAATGCGTTCTGTCATTACCGCAGGGAAGCAAAGTGCTGTGCAGCTCCAAATGAGTTCTGACTAAACATTGGGAGAAGCCAAACAGGTGGCTCATTGACTGACTCAAAGGCCATTGAGGAAAACAGCCTGCACACTTCAGTAAAGGACTTTTTCTGGGTTTTTTTTTCCTTTTTTCTTTTCCAATGGCTCTGGTAGAGAAAAGAGTGGCAGGGAGGCAGAGAGAAAATGTGTAAAGCAGAGTGAGCCGCTGTGGTGAGCCAGCAGTAACCAAACCCCAACTGGAGGAAACCACAGGCAAATGCGCTGCAGTCACTGAGGGATATAGCCACAACAGTTTGCACATTCACACAGGCACAACTACACAGTTTGACATAATAGAAAGTTAAACTGTGGCTCCGTGGTCGTACCGTAGCTACAGCTTGCATTAAAGCTGCATTCGGTCACAGAAAGCCTGACATCGTCCAGGTTATTTGAGAGGTAATGCCAAGAGAGCAGAGCAAAAGGGTGCAGTGAAAGGACTGCAGCCTATTGCACTAATGGATGCAACCCATATGTTTTGAGCCTGCTTAAAAGCCCGGGAAAGTGATTGAAAAGCTGTTTGACATCTGCTATGCTGTTTGCCGCCGCTGCTTTGCCACTCTCCGAGGCCCGGGACCACAATGATTACTGTCAATATGAGTGAAGTTACTTCTTCAAGTGATTCATCTCATTCCAGCAGCCTCATCCTCTCACTGGTTGTCCCTTTAATTCCCTGTCTTATTTTACAGAATGTATCCATGTCCATCACTCTCTGTCCGATTTCTTTACTCCAGTTTGAACCAATTTAATTTAATGCTACACAC